TAAACATTGTGTCACAAAAGACACACATAAAAAAAAAAAAAAAAAAAAAAAAAAAAAAAAAAAAGAGTAAGGCGCAACACCAGCTCTCATCTGTCTTTGGTGGTATATATTTCAGTGACTAGCACTCAGATTTTTCAACAGTTGCAGTCCAATATGGGCATTCCTATGGTCTGGGGTTTTTTGTTTGCCGATTTCTAAAACACAGCTGGCAAAACTGCAGTTCTATAAAGGTATTTCACAGGTAGGGCTTATTTTTAAAGCAAATTTCTAATAGAAGTTTACAAACAAAACCCAAGCTGTTGATTATTTCTCTGCCAAGTTGTCCAGACCTCCATATTTTGGGAAGTTGCTTTCAATAATCTATGTAAAATAGCTTTATCTGCTACTTCACTTTTCTTCTGAAGCCTGCTATGCAAATCGAGGATAGTTTCAACTACACTAGTCTTGAAAGCAAGACCTACGGTCCAGGTGGTCAGTGCATTGACAGCTCTGGAAATTCACTCTCATTTGTGCTGTATTTACACTCCATTTTTCTCAGTCTTGACAATGAAAAACCAGTCAAGTCATTTTCTATTTTCTCATTGCAATTGCATTTTCAGCTTCCCGCAGTCGAGTCAAACAGGCAGCTAACAGGAAAAGAGAACTGGGCATTAAACAACTGTAACTGAACTTAAGTGGGAAGCTGCATGTTTTGGCAAAAATAATCTTTAAAAGAAACCCTATATGTCAGGAACCAAAGGGCAAATTTGTCTTTTTAAATTTGAAAGATAGCAAGTCGTCTGGACTGACAGACACTCATGTACTACCGATGAGCAACCAGGAACACCCCCCCACACCTGAGGAAAAACAGGTTTAAAACTCAAAAATACACAAGCAAAACACAGATGCAACCTCACATCCCAGACAAATCAAGCTCCACTGTCTTGGCATCCTTATTATATTATGAAAAAAGTCAGAAACTTCAATGATTAGAAGCCACACCATATGTAAGCCCATTTTCAGAACCAAATTTTACCTAAGGGGAAACCTCTATAGGAAGTTTAAAAAAAAAAAAATTAGAAAAACCTTTTCCTATTTGAAACCATCAACTTCAATTTTAATCCTTCTAAAAACAGTATCAGACCACATACAATAGTAAGTGGGCAGAATTTATACAGTACCACACAAAGCCTCCTGTCAGAGAATGCTACCACAAAGCACTGTTCATATATACTTATTTTACCCAATCCTATGGCAGAGCTGGCACTTTCAGATACATGCTTTTCACTGCTTTACTCTTCCTTTTTACATGACATTAATCACCTATTTTTGAAACACTGCACATCAAGAGCCTGCCTTTCTACCAGATTTGCACGGCAGCCCAAAAATCTAGTAGCAGTTTTCAGAAAATCCTAAACCCCATTAAACTCACTGTTATTCCATTGCAAAACAGCTATATAACTGAAAGATATTAGCAGCTAGCACCTGCAAAGACTTTACCTTAAAGCCATGAGCATTTGACAGGTATAAGCTTGTTCCAGAAGTCTCCTGCCCTCATACAATACAGGCAAGAACAGGGGAAAAGGCAAAACGAGTTGAAAAACAGGGCATGTTAGGTGACTCATCAAAAAGCTGAGGTGTCCCCAGATTTAACCTCTCTGACAACTCTTTCACCCTGGTTCAGGTCTGAACCAACTCTATGTTTCATTAACCCCACAGCAGTACGGTGCCATTACATTTTACAGAAAGTGACACTGGTTAATCTATACGCATCTGTCACTCCTGCAGTTCTGAACTGTGCCTTGCAATACATGCTGCTGTTCGAAATTTCTTATCTAAGAAAACAGTCTCTACTGGTTAGGAAAAGAAAAAAAGGAACAAATGAACTCTAAGTCAGCAGAGACCTAAATGCCATCTCCTGCCATCCAAGGTTAGCAAGAGCTTAAGGAATCAATCATTTTTATTCTTGAAGGGTGGCTCTTGTTTTAAAATTGAGATAGAGAGAAACGTCTAAACCCTTTATGCAATGTCTGCAATTCAACAGCTTTATGCAGAAATGTGACAGAAGGCCGAGGCTCAGGACTGAAGCAGTTGCGGGGCAGAGGAGAGGAACTTGTTTCAGGCTTTGCTGACCAGATCTTACAATCGTTTGCCTGCAGGTAAACAGTGAACAGCTCACCATTTCAGCAACCAAGTGCAGAATAACTACATCCAGGTTTCAGCTGAGACAGACTTGTCCACCACTTCCAAAATAAGAGGTATTGTGAGCGTGAAAAACACCAAAGCCAGACCACTGAAATCAGAAGCTTTAAATGTCAGAATAACTTTCTGGGTCTCAAGAGAACAGATGCAGGAATTCACTTTTCACATCCATTCAATCCGTTATTTCCTGTCTTACCTGCAGTAAGATGCATGTTAAGAGGCTCGGGGTACGCAGCAGCTTCGCTCCCAGAATGATTATGGGAGCAAGAGGAAAAAAAAATCCCAGTCCTTTGTCTAAAACTAACACTTTCCTCCAGCCTTATCACGATCTATATTGGACAATCCAAAGATTAAAAATAACAGCATCTCTATAGGTCCTAATGTAGCTACCTCAGTTCTACGTGAGTGACAAAGTTAATCAAAGCCCTACTGGAAAAAACAGCCTTTTATCTACCGAGTGCTCTCTGATGAGAAAAGAGGGAGCAATCTGGCAGAGCTCATGTTCTGCATTTTATGTAACTATCAATGATAGAACGGTAACAACTTTGGGGTACCAAGTCTCCGAACCCTAATTAAAATCAGAAAAGAAGTTGTCCAGAAAGAAAACACCCCAAGCATGAAAAAGGTGAATATTTTAATCTAGAACACAAGTAAAACATGCTGCTAACCCATTACCTGGAATGCCAGTGCAGCAAAAGCTGCAGAGCTTTCGTGAAAGAGAGCATTCTCCGTGTCAAAATTTCTTACCATGAGTGAAATCTTTAAGAGATACATTTGCAAGTGCCAGCTGCAACATGTATTTTACAATTTATGAAGGGCTTCCTTTAAATTAGGCTGCCTTAAGTCAGACATGAAGCAGCTCACCTTTTCCAACAAGCAACAGCTATTTTCCTCTCTACCCTGATTTTCATAGCATGAAAAACTGTATGTCTTTCCTAAAACCTCCTGGCTAGCATCTCAGTGACAAAAATTGCTGTAAGCTTCCCCGAACAATCACGGTAACCCAAGCCACCCACCTCTAAAGTACTCAAGAGCTCAATTTATCGACCTTTCCCTCACTTCAGTGCTCCAGCTACTTCTACTCCTGTACCCAGTTTGTTACATTTTGATCTCTCTACTTTCATTTTAAGTCCTTTTTGTCCTCCCATTTTGCTTCCCTCTCACACCAGTTGTGTTTGCAAAGCAGAGAAGACAGAGTGAAACTGTGTTCTGATCAGAAATCTGCTGTCCAAGCTCCATGATGAGTAACTTATCAAAACCACTAATACTTTTATGCCGCTACATAAGCTCCTATGGGATTTAAGTACGTACAACCATGTTTTCCAGCATTCTCCCCCTTTCTTACCTCAGTTTCCCCATGACGCCATCGCTGAGGGCTGAGGGGCTGGGCTGTGCCTCACCAGGGGCCACCAGAACCTGCTGGAACCAGCCTGAGGCAGCCCCGGCCTCCCCTCAGAGACCCCCCGGCCTCCCCTCAGAGACCCCCCGGCCCCGCTGCCAGCCCCCTGGGCACCCAGTGCAGCAACTATTAAAGCAAAGGTTGCAAATAATGTCCTTTGGGTATGAACCAATGCAGGGCTCTGAGCACCGACCTTTTCAGTCCCCAGACGAGGAAGACTCCTACAGCAGTCCCTCACACGGGCCTGAGGACAGCAAGGGGACAGGGAGAAGACCTGATGGCGGCCCTTACCCCTGCAACACCAGCGAACAGGGATGCTGCTGCTGCCAGCACCCAGGCGCAGCCCTGCTAATTTCAGATGCCTTCTTCAGCATCCTCAGAAACCTCCAAAGACATACAAACGGGCCAGTCTGGCATCGGAGATCTCTGCCTGCATCTCTCATCCCCTTCTTTGCCACCTCCGTTCTTTTGAGACATCTGGACACCTTGGCCTGCTTCCATGATTTCCCTTTGAAAAAAATCTCAATCTTCTTCTGAAATTGAGCCCAACTTTACCAGGATTTGTTCAACAAATCAGTAACCTTGTATGGAAGACGTCGTCCAACTTTTTGCTGTGGTCTCTGAATACATTCATATAGCAAATATGTGAAGTATTTCCTTCAAGGTACG